GTGTATCATAATCACCTTTTCTTCATACAAATTATTTTCTTAACTTTGCATGCATATCTTAGCAGGTTTTATTTTTAAAACTCATGTTAACAGTTTCTCTCTTGTTACCAGTAGGGGTGCTACAATAAGAAACTAATTTGCTGTAAAAATTACTCATTTGTCAAATAAGCATTAAAATAATTGTTCCCCTTTTGACTGTTACCCTGCTGTTTCCAGTCATTTTCAAAAACTAAATTATTTACTCATTTGAAAGTTCAGCTGTGCATATTTTAATTGATATTCCCTCATAGGACTCATATTCTTAATGACAATAATTAACCCGAAATGGCTGCTAAATAATTATGCTGAAAAGATACAAAGTATTTGTGCAGAAAGTAAAATCAGCATTTGAGAAACCATCAAAATGTACAACTTTCCTATTTTATGGCTAAGCATGGTAATAGTTCATAATCAAATTAAGGATGAAAAGGAAAGATGCAGATTACATGCTTTGATGCAGAATACTTTATGTTTCCAATATAGCATGGTATCCTAGCTAACAATTCTTACTCAGTCATTTTAATAAATCCTTAGTATTGCTATTCCAGATAGTAATATAATGTATTCTCGTGAAGTCAGTGCAGTTAGGAACGTAGTAAACCATCCATTAATAATATTTCTCTGCCATCTATCTATTGCATTTCATTCCAAGGAATCAGAGCCCTGTAATAATTTATAGCTTACAGAATTAATGCTGAAGGCTTTCTTCTGGCAAGCATTGTTGATTTCAATGATGAGAGCTAAAAGCTATTCAGGCCCAGCTTCTTTCTCTGGACACATCCCAGGCCAGATGCATTACCGACCTATTGTTTGTGGAACCATTTATACCAGTGTAAAATCATTTTTGATTTAGCTCCTGTGCTTGTCGATAGTGCAAGTTACGGATGAAGCAAGCTCTGTATGCCCTGCAAAACAGACACAGGATGGGTTTGTCTACATGGGAAACAATCTAAATTAACTAAGGATGTGATTTTAATGTGGGTTTCTATATACAACTATATTAAGCCCATGTGGACTCACTCATTCAGAATTAAAATAGCCCTAATTCACTTTAATCTAATTCACTTCCAAAGACCACAGAGGGGTTTAAAGTTGTTTAATCTATTTGAACAGCTCATTTGAATCCACATGCCTGAGTGTCCCAACAGACACTCACACAAGTAAACAAAAGGCCAATAAAGCAGTAGAGAGGTTAAGAGAGGTTGGCAGAAAGTTTTACCTCATGCCTTTTGGTGGAAAATTTGGTTTTCAACTACATAGTCTCTTTGAAAAAGCTATTTCACATTGAGTGTTCCTAAATTTTATCTGGAAACCAAATTCCCTTTCCTTTAGAAATAAGAATTGCTGCTGCAGTATTATCTGGTTGACCATCACATATCCCCATAGTCTGCAGTCCAATTAGTTAACCCAGCACACTGTAGTCAGATACAACCAGGGTGACAGATAAACCAAGGTTCATCAGAGAAGTGGATTTGGAGCCAGATTGCATGTTTACTATCTTAAACCAAACCACATTTGGCCTTTGATTTGCTATTAATATTCAAGATTTTGAATGCAGAAATAACTTTCTCCCCTTATCCCCTACACACCCAGACCTACCTGAAAAAGCTTTTCCAGTATTTCGTACCAACAGAGCATCCTCAAACTGAAAGGTTAGGTGGTACTTGTGATAAAACCAAACACTCATCATCTATTTGGAGACCATCCACTCTATGATCTTGTGCTAAGCTCTTGGAGTAATACAGATGCAGCTGGGAAGGGGCAGGGGGGTTTGAAGGGGCAACAGGGTCTGTTCGTAGGCTTGGGTGGGTGTTGGCAACAGGCATATTTTTAAAAAAAATGTTGGTACTTTTGAAGAAGTAATTCCTAATTACTGAATGCTGTCATTTAGTAAAATGCTTCATTACAGCAATTTAAGTACTCCTGGTCAGAGAACATTAATATGAACGCATCTGTCTTATTCACTTGAGTTACCTCTGCAATTCCTGTATGTTTTCACATGCAGCTCTGGGGGTTTGCATGTGTAATCAGCAGCATTCACAACTCAAGCACACCTCTGTGAAAGGTTGGCTCATTTGGAGCTACCTTCCACATGCTCTAAGTTATACTTAGAATCTTGACATAGGAGACAAATAGCCAACAGACAGAGAGCATGTTTATTAAAAAAAATAAAATTCTTTTAATTGCTCAACCTACTCCTGCCTGAAAAATAAGTGCAAGCTATTACTGGCACCAGTTTTCACCGGCCAGCAAAGCTGCATCTGCAAGTTCAATGAGATCAGTAAACAGTGTAGGTTAAGTAACAGATTACTAGTATTTTCCTTGAGCTCCAAAACTTTTAAATAAACAACAACAACTGTGATCACAGTAACCTTCCAGAGGTTAACAGCATGCAGGTGGTCAATTGGAATTAAATGCAAACCAGACTGCTGTGGCATTATAAACTGAACATCTCAGTTCAGTTTGCTTCAGGAATTGGGTCTTCTTTCTCAAAAGCCTCAATGATACAACACATAAATGTCAAAATGACAAAAATAAGGAAGTATGTAATAGACTAAGCATTTTAATGCATTTTCTGGCTCACTTGTGCAGGCTGAACTGTCTGTGTTGACCACATTTGATGGCATCAGTACATAGAGTGGCTGTGTGCATGAGTTTTTAACAGCTGACATAAACAGAGATGGCCCATCAACCAACTGAGCTGTGCTGTGGGCTTGTTGTAAACCACTGGTATGACAGATTTTATACTTCATTTATGATATGACTTCACTGATCTTGAAAGACAGCTCGAAGTATTGGCAATCAGATGTTGAACTGCGAGCAGGTTCAAATCCAGCTAGTGATGGTATAAACACTGATAAGAATGGATTATTTATATCTGTGGACCTTTTTGATAGCAGGTCTCTCTCTCTCTGTTCCTAAGCCGAGAGGAATAGCTAATACAATTATTTGCCATCAAGAAACTTATTTGAAAAGTCCCCCAGAATAAGTGCAGATTTGAGTTACAGGAGCTGAGAACCATCTTGTCCGAGACAAATACTTTCTCCGACATCATCAACAGGGGCTGTCCTCTTTGAGGACTGAGCAAAAGTTACCTGTGTGATTCCCAGCACACTTAAATTGAGCACCTGAGAAATGGAACATAAGTTTGGCTAACAGTGGGCATAGCCTGGCAGAAAAGCTCCTACAGGAGGGGAAAATAAAAACAGAGGAGAAACCTTGAAAAGGCCTTCATCCCAAATCAAGCTTTGGGCTAGTGCAGTGCACAAAGCATTTACTTTAACAGCTTCTAGAAAAATGCTTTTCAAAGCTGGAGTCTCCTGCTTCCTCACTGGCGTATCCTAGCAAATGAATGCCCCAAGCCCACAGGCCCTGCAAAGATCAAGGGACAGAAGTGTAAAACACAGAACCATGACCATGTCCACATACACCAGCCACTGCTTGGATTCTACCAAAAAGCACCAGCACTTTGGAAACTTGACATTGCTCAGAGATACACATTCAATTTGGGTGGGTGCCAGTAACTAAATAAAATCCGTTGTCATGGTGTTTTGTAACTGGCTCCTTAAAGCTAGTTACACTCACCTCTGCGTGAAGCATTTTGCCTCTAGGTACAGCTGCTTCTCAGGCAGCGATATCACCTCCCAGTCTACTGTCCTGTATCTTAACCCAGACTGTGAGTCACAGTATCTCCAACATGCTTGTGTGCATCCATGTGGTGCCAGTGAGGTCAGGGCACATGTCCCCAGTCAGCCTCTAGCAGCTGCTTCAAACCAAGCAGTGGAAATAGTGAAGTTCAGAGATTTCTAACGTGTGTCCCTAAACACTGTCATTTGTGCAAGGTTCACAAAGAATCATAGAATCATTAAGGTGGGAAAAGACCTCTTAAATCATTGAGTCCAACCATTAGCCCAGCACCACCACCACATTCACCATCAAACCATGTCATCAAGTGCCATGTCCCGTCATTTTTTGAACATTTCCGGGGAAGGTCACCACTTCCCTGGGAAGCCTGTTGCTGCACTTTATAACCTTTTCCATGAGAATTTTTTTTTCCTAATGTTCAATGTAAGCCTCCCCGGCACAACTTGAGGCCATTTCCTCTCATCCTATCGCTTATTACCCTGGAGAAAAGACTGACCCTACTTGGTTGCAGCCTCCTTTCAGGGAATTGCACAGAGTGATGAGGTCTCCCCTGAGCCTCCTTTTTTCTAGACTAAATATCCCCAGCTCCCTCAGCTGCTCCTCATCAGAACTGTGCTCCAGAACTTTCCACAGCTTAGCTGCCCTCCTCTGGATGCTCTCCAGCACCTTTCTTCCTCTGCTGTGCTGCTTATGGAGGACACATTTCCTCTGCAGACACGTCTACCTGCTCACAGCTGACCCCTCCTCCACGGCCCTGCGCGGGCAGGTATCTGCCGGCCCTAGATCCGAGCTGCACACGTGCACCACACATCCATGTTTCTCCCAGCCAGCCAAGCTGGGTGGCCAAAACTAAGGAGGGAGCGGCTGAGCTCCAGCTGCAGCCTTTCCATTACTGGTAGCACCAGTTGTTCCCTCTTCTTTCCGCTCAGCCAAAATTTTTCAGAAAATTTATAGGAATTTCATAACCTCCATAAAATCTGGTTTAAATTGGCCGGTTCAGAAGTTATTAGGGAAAACAAGCACCCTGGCAAGCTTTTAACATACTAACGAGGTCTTCAGCCTCAGCAAAGACTTAGAAAATTGAGTGAACAATTGAACACTGAATATTTTGAACCTCTTAAAATACAGGTTAACCTGTGCTGCAGTGAATGTCCAACATTCACTGTTCTAAAACCAGCTCTGTTCTGCTTGCCATGCATTTGTTCTGTGTATACTTACATCAGCTGGAAAAAAACACTGAGCCAAGATGTTACTGCAAAAAACTAGGAACATTTCTATTACTAAGAAATTAAAGGAATAAGGTTTTGCATCTCACCTGAAGCAATGGAGCCTCAATTCCTTAATGATACAACGATTCTGTTACGAACAGAAACTTTGGCTTCTGCTCCAAGGCAAGAACATGTAACAGTGGACTGCATGAGGAGAATTTTTCAGCCTCTTCAACTTCAACCAGCATTACCTGTGAGTGATACATTACAGAACTGAATGCCAGAAAAGTGGATTTTAGAAAAAAGTATCGTGTTTCATAATTTGATTTAAATCAATTATATCATCTCTCACTGGAATGCTCATGGGCTTCAGAAATAAAATATATAAATGAAACCAGCTGCTCTGGATACTCTTTCCTTGGGATAGATTTCATTTGAACTCAACCAGCTTTCTTCTACAGCAAGTTATTGTGATGCAACATCAGAGTGGAGAGCACACAGTGCTGTACAAGTTACTGCGAGGTAAACAGTTTCAGTTAAAAAATGCAGAAGATTAAAATCCTTTCCTGCAATGGCTGGCTAAAATCTGAGGAATTATTAATTCCTCTGGGGCTGACAGGGAAACCGAGATAGTTACTGGCACCTCAGCAAGATCCATTAATTTAGAGCTATTTACTGTATCACATAATCTTTCTGATTTGTCTCAGTCTGGAGCCCCTCTGCGCCCAACAGCACGGAGGTCTGCAGTGTTTAGAATGAAAAATAATTACAACTGGAGAAGCACATGCACCCAAAGCTCCATGTTCTTTAATCTCCAAGGCTAATGCATGTGTAGATTTTGGCATCACTCTTAAAATGATTGTTTGTAACTAAATACCGTATCTCAGTGCTTAGATACCACGATGACTGAGCTTTTCATAAATCAGAATAAATATATAAGGCAAAATCCTGGCTGTACTGAACTCAATGGAAGCATTGCCAGCTACTTTAAGGGAGCCAGAGCTTCATGAAAAATGTTTTCAGCAGTCCAAGCTGTCCAGTGTTTTGGTTGCAGTATTTTCAACTGCATTTGAAGGCCTCTTTTCCCATCCAGCATCTGCAGTAGCGTGACACTGAGATAAAATTGCACACTCAATTCCCAGCCAAAGTAACAGGAGAGTATCCATTGTTAAAATAAGGTGCAATTCCAGCTTCAGTTGACAAAAGCAAAGTACGAAATCCTTTGAGTTTGTGTAGATTCCCCACGGCTTTTTCTGTTCCATATAGCAGACAGGCTCCTGCCCAGAGCAGAAGGGAGCATCCTCACTGGGTGTACATTTTGAAAACATGCAGAAACAAAACAAAGGAAAACTCCACCTCTCCCCGTTTTTGATCTCTTCTTAAAGAAATAATCATCTTCTCATGCAGATGCTTATGTATCTTCTCTTAGCATGCTGTCCAATTGTCTTAAATTCTTCTGTAGTGTTACACCAGTTCCCTTCAAAGAGAGTAAATGTCTCATTCTACAGTCAGAGTACTCACAGAGAGGAAAAAAAAACAGCTTGTAGCTGAAAATAAGATTATTTTCATAGCCACTGTGTGCTTAACTTTTCCCAACTCAAATAACTTAGAACACAAAAGCAGATGTCATATGCAACAAGTGGTGATTTAGGACAGTCAAGTGAAATAAAGACATGAGCACTACACTATCAGTCTAACAAATTCCATTTACATTGATATACTTAAAATACTTGCATTCCTAAGAAGTCAGTACCAAAAGTGTGTTTGTATAGGATTAGCAGTGTCAAATTAATATGCATTATGAAACAGCAGCTTCTATAACAATAAAAACCAAAATTATTTTAAAATCGCTTAGGTCTGTAAGTCCTAATGTTCTTGTGAATGAAGAGAGAAAAGGAGGAGACAGAAAAAGACAGAATGAAATGGGCTTTTTCATAATGAGGCAAAACAAGCTGAAAAATGTGATTCCCTTCCTTTTCCTGAAAGACTGAAAATGCAGATTCTGTTCCTAGAATGTTTCAAAGTAATCACTAATAAACACAATTATTTTCGATAAGAACAGGTTATTACTATAAATTCCAACTAAAGAATTAATTTTTTTTAAAGACCAAAAAAATGTTGGAGAAATGGAGGGATAACTGTAAATGGGAGAAATTTCAACACCAGGAAACAACTCACTTGTGAGAAGACTCATGTTCACATTCTTTGGCACATTCAGTTGATGTCCCACATGGCACAGTGACCTCAGGATCCCTCATCTCTTTACTTTTATGAAAAAAAAAATAAAAATCTTATTAAAAAGGGCTTAGGGCAAAGTGGGTCAAGGAAGCAGGTGTTGTGGTATATTTTAAGTAACAGTTTCTTCAATGAGAAATGGAAGCATGAGGTTTGACCCCTAACAACAACATCACAGAGAGGGGATGAGAAGGTTTTAAGTTTGAATGATGACTCCCCTGAAATGCGCATGTGACCTGGTAACCCCTGTGAGACAAGGCAGAGCTGAGTTAAGGAAGAGAGAGGGCTCCAAGAAACAAGCTTAAGGTTTTCGGGAAACAAAGAGACCACTCAAACAGGTCCTGGAAACTACCTTAAATGTAACTGCAGGAATCTACAAACTCTCTCTACAAACAACATTTACAACAGTTGGGAGAATTACCCTGTCTAAAGCATGTTTTAAAGATATATGTCTGTGGATAGATAGGGATGTCTCCCTCCAAAATCACATTTTATTTCAAAATTCAGCCCTGGACACTTTGCCTTTCATAGCATCAAAGTTAAATACCCTTCTGGCTTGACTGAGCTGTCTTTTAGAAGACATCCTTACCTTCAGTGATGGAGATGGACCATATAGCAGTAGATGATGGCCATTGACAATATGGCCATTGAAAATACTGTATTTCCTTAAAAAACACAAGTAGAACACTGGGGAATATCATCAAGAACCAAATTGCAGAGGAATTACAACTAGTAAAAAACACCACATGGATTTCATATCCCCTCAGTTTCCTTAAGTGTAATATGAGATATTAAACTTCTATTTCTTCTGGTCTGAGGCATAATAGGAATTAAGCTTTCCCTCATTTTGCCAACGGACCTGCAAGGCTGTTTACCTGACTGTAAAAACAAGCCTACTCTCTCAGAAGACAGAGTACAGAAATTAAATAAGATCAAGTGAGCATTCATTATGACACCTAGAAATATACTGTAAATGTAACAGGAGAAGATTGGCCAGATTAGGCACAAATGAAGTCATGTTGATGAGACTAATTTCTTGTATTACCAAAGAAAGGGCTAAAACTAATGCTTAAAGTTACCTGGGACCTGTGGGAAAGGCCATGGAAAGAATAACACAGATTTAAGGATCCTGTATTCGACCCTTCTTTTTTCTTTTTCTTTTTAAATTTATTTACTCTTTCTTTTTCTGAGCCTACAATTTACAGAGAAGCAGATGGACTCCTCTTGAACGCCACATTTCAATATTCACCAACCATCATGGAAAGCTGTGCAAAACATTTCTTGTGCCCTCAGGAACCTGCTGAAATTTGGAAAGAGAAAAAGCACACAACTTTATTGAGGTCGGTGCAAGCCTAGAGATTTCCAAGTTGCATGTCTCTGTTAATCAAAGTGACTGTGCCAACATGATTAGGATACCCACGAAGCCAAGTCAATCAAGCAGCTAACTGAGGGAGACCACAGACCAGATAGCAAATACCACTGGAGTTGTACATTGTCTCAAAAGATTATCACTGCAGTTGTTCAAACTCTTGTGACCAACAAGGGATTTCAGTGACTCATTGCTATTGTGTTTCTGCAGCTCAACATTATGTCCCATGCATATTCTGAAGCTCCATAGCACCACATGTGTATAACAATGTGCCACTCTTAATAAAATATCTTTGTGGTAAAAGAACTACCAAAAATATTCGCACAATAGCAGAATGCCAACCAAGCACTGAACTACATTAAACAACTCATTGGGTGCTATTCCAAAACAGCATCTGCCATGGCCCCAGGAAGTAGCTTTAAAAGTATATATATAATAAAATAAGAGATTTTTCTGAAAGATCACAGCTTTTAACATACCAAGGAAACGTCAAGAACAAATTAACATATGACTCACTTCCCTGAGGTCTATCCCATGGTTTCATTATCAGTCAAGCAGAATCCATTGTTGCAAAAGCAGTTCAAAGCATCCACTCCATCCATGTGCCACACTGAATACGCAGCACGTCTTCATGTATATACAGCATTGTTAAAAAACAAGGATGGCAGGATAACATTTACAAGGAAAACAAACAACCCCTCCCACACTGGAGTTGGAAAGGCCAGCAAAGCCCATACACATCAGTAAGGGCTAGGAAGGGAGGTGGTCATTTTTCTGACACTCTTAAAACTTTCCCAAGAAAATGATGGCTTGCAGCTGGGGCACACCAATCAGCTGCTCTCGCAAAGGTCCCTGAAAGAAAGATTCCCTGCTAGTTCAACAGTGGTGGTTTCTTAAATAGTCTTGAAAAAACTAATAGCATGTGAACATGAATGCTTATTCCCCCACAGGATTCAGGCAGGAAAACAGGTCTCACAAAACTCCTGTTGTCTTCCTGAAAGTAGTGCTTCCAAGCAGAGCAGAGTGTCTCCTTCAGATCAGAGCAACCAAGCATGCTGAAATGAAAATAACAGACTTAATTGACAACCTGGAAAGGAATCATGGAGGAGTCCCCTCCAAGAGATACGGTTTGGGCTCCTGCCACAACTAAAGAGGCAGATGTAGCTTCTGACACTGACAAGCTCTGAGTCACACAAGATGAAGGTAAGAGATAACAGGAAAACCCTCCATACATCAATCATGCCACAGAGAGGTGTCAGGCACAGCAAGAATCTGGCTGAGTTAAGGTTAAAAAAAAAAGAATCATTATATTAGGCTTTTACTTGGCTAACTGGGGGAAGGGAGGAGGATTGTATTTTTCAATTAAAGTCCTGATTTAAAAAATGCATGTGCAGAGGGTGCTCTAATGGTAGATTTTGGCTGCTGAAGAGTGGATGAGCAGCGGGGAGAGCCCTGCAGAGGGACAAGTTTCTAGGGATGCTACTCCTTCCTCTCTCACAGCTGATGATGACACCATGTGTCTCTCCATGTCAGGTAGGGACTGAACTGAAAATATTCACCCTCTTCTATCCCCATTTTCTTTTTTCCTTTTCAGAGTCCTGAACTGAGTTAGCAACAGGAGGAGCAGAAGAGCCTTATGGATATGATGGACAACCCACACAGGCACCAAGACATGGAATGCCATCAGACCTTCCCCTCAAGAAACAGTCCTTCCTCTGCTTGCATTCCAAGCACCAACAGAAGACAATGGCTTAGAATTCCACTCTCCTAGGGACCCTCATCCCTGGTACAGTCACTGTTTGCAATCACTGCACTTTAGGAAAGCATAAAATTTGGTAAATATCTTATGATGATAATGTGTTCTCCACGATAGGTCTTGAAAAAAATTATGTAGCTGAAAGGATGGCTGTAGTAGATTGGAACTTCACAGCCTCTTTGTGCTCACTACCACAGAGACAGGGGATCCCACTCACAATGGTCCACAAAAACACCAAAATATAAAAAGCTTAAAATTAACTCAAACCTGAAAGCATCACTGCAGTTTACCATGAAAGGTGCACTGTGCATATATATAGAACAGGAACCCTGCACACACAAAGCTTTCTACAGATATTCAAGATACCCTTTCAACTTTGATTCGCTTAAGCAAAACATCACTGAAGCAATGTAAATCCTCTTGTTTACAGTTACACCCACGAGAGAATGGGAATTCACAGCTCAAGATCAAACAGATACACTAAAGGGAGCTATTTAACATCTCTAAGGATAGCACCCTGTAATTACTGTATCAGGGAGGTTGGATCTTCAATACAGGTTTTGCTTAAATAGGGATCTTTATTCAGCTCTGGTTTTGCCCCAGTCTCATATCAATTTCAAGTTAAAACTAAACAAAATACGCATTTATCAACCATTATTTCAGGACCCCAGATCATCAGAAAACTATATGAAAGAGGCAACACAGCTAAAGCATCATTAAAAGCATAGAGCAATCAAATGCAGCTGCGTACCCAAATATAAATATTTTTACCTTTACACCTGCAAAGCACAACTGCTACCAAGGACAAGTTGAAAATTGAGGAGCTCAGGGTAAACATAACCCTTGATGGTAAAACCCTAAACATCCTAGTCTATGTGTGAGGTCTTACTAACTTTCACAGAGTATTTTTTGAGTAACATAGGTGCCTGCTTTTCCGATCCTGTATTCACATTACTGTCAGGAGGTGGCTTTTCCAAGCAGCCTTAGCCTTACGAGGTAGAGTGCCTTAGCTATATGAAGTAGATGTCCCAACATGCAAACTTGGGGCCTTTTGTCACACTGGCAGCATTTCAACAGAATCTAGGCTTAGTACTTCAGTTCTAGTAGCAGCTCTAGGTTCAACACTAATGCCAGACTACAGAAAATCCTCTAAACTATTTTTAAAGGAATTATTTAGTTAATATTCCTACTGAAGTTTGCAGTTAATCCATTATCCACAAGAACTCACCATGAAGTCCGCAAGATTTTGTGAACCCATTCAATGAGAACACTCTACATACAAGTGCAGGATTCCTGGTAGCAGAGAATTTATTCATATCTTGATATTTTCCATAAGGAAGAAGAAAAATAGAAGGAAGCCTGTTCCTGTGAAAACAAATGGATTTTGCTAGCAACTTCACTCTAATGATTGCTGGTGCATTAAAGTCCCAGTAATGCAACTCCTCTGTGCCCTTGAGAAACCCCATCCACTTTTAGCAGCTGAAGCATTCAAGATCTACAACATAAAGCAATTAGATTTCGAATGCAGGTTGCTTCATTTTAAAACATTACTGCTCTTTGATGTTTATCTGTTTAAGAGAGTTTATTGCAGGTAATTCACAGCAGGAGTGCCCTGTGGCATCCTCAAAAATTATATTAAAATATAAAAGATAAGAAAGGAAAACATAATAATTATATAATCTAATTTTTTATGGCTCACAACAAAAATTAAATCCTAATTTTGTAATATATATGCATAGAACTATTTCTGACATACCAAAAGCATGAAGCCATCATACACAGGCCTTTTATTGGAAAGTCTGACAAACTGAAACAGCAAGGGACTCAATACCATATCGGTTAGGTTTCAACTTTATTTAGAAAATGAGTTTCAAGGATAAGCCAGAAACATATGGATTGCAG